ATTTGAATGGGCAAGCGGAATAATGAAACGTAATTCTGTTTTCAAATGAAGTGCCTCTGAGAAAATTTTTCAGTAAAAAAGCCCCACAAAAATATTGTCTGATAAAAATTTGTATGAAAATCTTATTCAGACAATATTTTTGTGGGGCTTTTTTACTGAAAATTTTTCTCAGAGGCACTTCATTTAAAAACAGAATTACGTTTCATTATTCCGCTTGCCCATTCATTTGATGTTTTACACTATATGTTTTTTAGTTTGCCTCCTTTGAATTCTGAGAGCAGATTTTGATTATCTCGATTACGAGTTGTGAGCATCAATGATGCCTTGAAAGTAGCGACACACAACAGCGGTTTTTTCATAACAGTCAATCGAATATCACAAACTGTCAAAATTTCAATATTCTACGTTGTTTAAATGTCAAAACGAGAACCGCTGTAAGAAGGCGATACGAATTTACATTGTTAATGTTTTTAATGGAAAAACACTGACTTTCGATAATTTTTCGAGTTACCGTTTTAACGACGACGACGACGACAACGACATGTAGTCGGTGATACTGTAGCCTTTGGCCGCTTTACGATATGTCTTTCGGGCGAACTGTGTGAATTTTCTCAAAACACTCTCGATTTTGTCTATATGTACGGCATAAGTTGGTAGCCATACAACGTTTCAGTACTCGAGATGAGACTGAACCAATGCCTAATACAATGTTATGAGCGTTTGAACATCGGTGATGTCGTAGCAAAATCTCTTGATGACTCCAAGGGCTGCGGTCGCCTTTTATGTTATCGCGTCAATGTGCTTGACAAAGCTCAGATTCTGGTCAATGATGACGCCGAGATCTTTGTGGTCCGATACGCGCTTGAAAATAAAATCACCATATTTGTAATTTGTATCGATAATGTCCTTTTTCTTCGAGATGATTGTTCAGGACGGCACATTTGTCGAGATTTAGGTACAAATTGTTAACATCACACCAAGCTTCTAGCTTATCGATGGCCCGTTGTAGCACTTCAGCATCCGAACTCGAGTGGATGATTTTGACAATTTTCACATCATCGGCGAACAAGGAAATGAACACGTCGTCCATTTCGTCCAATATGTCGTTGATGAATAAAAGAAATAGTGTGAGTCCGAGATGACTTCCCTGTGGTACACGGGATGAAACGGTGAATTCGGAATGTTTAACGAATTGTATTCTGTTTGACAGGTATGATTCGATCCAAGCAAGAAGATTGTCTGGCAGGTTGAACGATTTGAGTTTCAGAATCAATCTCTTGTGGTTAACTCTGTCAAACGCTTTGCTGAAGTCCGTGTATAGTACGTCCACTTGCACACCAGAATTTATGCCTCTCTGGGCATAGTAGATAAATTCGGTGAGATTAGATGCAGTAGATCTGGACTTCATAAAGCCGTGTTGCTTTTTGGTGATTTTGTCCTGGACCAGTGACAGGAATTTGACATTCATCAAATGCTCAAAGAACTTCACCACAGTTTGACCGTAGCAATGCAACAGTACCAAACTTTGGAAGGGAAGCTCCTATTCCCTCGGAATTTTGTTTCGGGAGAAATTTTGTCGAGTAGTTTAATTAGCCAGATGCAAAGTGGCTTTTGTATTCTGGGTGTTAAAAATGAAAAAAAAGTAGAAAAATCTGCAACTTGACACCAGTAAAAGTAATTTTAGTCATTTTGAATTTCGATTTTTTAGTCAGGCTCATGGAATGGATCCAGAAATAAACTAGATCGTACGGTTATTGAAGACATAGACATAATAATTCAGTTCTGCTCCTCCACGCATTGGGCCGAACGAAAAGACGGTTTGACTAGTTTGACACAGTATCTGTCTGAGGGGAAATATTTAACACAAGAGCAACTGAAGGTAATTTAAGATATCCTGTTTCCAGAAAATTAAATTCAACTTTCAATCTGTACATTGGACACATTATTTGTATATACTTTTGTGTGAAAAGACCTAGATTGCTATCTCCACTTCACTGAAAAAAATTCAACAAATTGCGTCTTTTATTTCCCGACTTTCATGGATTTCATCACATTTTGAAATAATTTTCATACTTGTTCGATTAATATTTGCTGGAATAATCGTATTTCGAAAATGAAAACTGGCATTTCCATTTAAAAAATTTCCGTTGTGGATACTTAGTGTCCAGATGTAAGAGTAATGTCGATCCAGAGTATGTACGGGTTGAAAGTTAATAAATTGTACTTTTTCACATTCTGTAATACAAATTCAACTCATTCTTATAATTTATCACAGAATATTCTGGACCTGTTTAGAAAAATGTTTATGGACAGTCATACGAAAGTGTACGCTTTATTTTTGGATACTGTTAATGAGCTAATTATACTGCATTCAAATGATTTACATGACTGGCTTTTCATTCTACTGACGAGACTTTTTAATAAATTGGGGGCAGAGTTGTTGGGATCAATGCATAGCAAAATATGGAAAACTTTAACTTTGGTTCACGAATATTTTCCACCAGAACTTCAATTGAAAGCCGTTTTCCGGTAAATATTTGCAAATTGAAGAATTTTTTTTCGCCCCTTTAGTAATTTTTTTACTCTTTCACAGAATTTTGGTCGATGCCGCCCAAACACCAAGTATAAAAACTAAAATTGCGGAACTAAAATTTGTCACAAATTTAGTTACGACCTATTGCCGAAGCGATGATTTTCCGAAGCAACTTGCTACAAACAAGGCAATACAGAAGATCATACAATTGGCAAACGATCAAAAGAGCGTAGAACTCAGAGGTCAAGCTCGTTCCTGTCTGATTGCATTGTATAACTGCAATACCCCCGAAGTAAGCTCCATTTATTTATTTATGTATTTATGTATTTACACTACCAAGGCCATTATAATCTAACTAAATATATTGGCAAAATGTATTAGTTCTTGCAGGGAAAATGAATCCAACAGGGTGAATATATGTGTGGTTAATGAAAATTCATAGGATGACGAGAATTTACGTTATTTTTATGTTATGGTTGGAAGACATGATACTTTTTGTTTCGTTATTTTAATAATGTTTCATTTACCATAACATTTATAAGGTTGATGAAAATTTTAATAAACAAATTTCAAGGATATTAACATATAGTTGTGTTGTATTGTCAAAAAAATGTCATATTAAAGGCGCTATTGGTGCCTCAATATATTGAGATCGAAAAAAAATATTATCGCTACACACAGAAAAGAATCCCCGGAAATTTTAGGTTTTCTCCGTAAAATTTGACATTTATATATAAATTTCTATATACATTTTACCGGCAACACTTCAATTTTCCGGGCGATGACATAATTTCGAACATTTTATCAAATACTATATATATTTTACCGCTTGAAATGACAGATGGCGCTAATTTCTGTTGAAATATTTGAAATTATGTCATCGCCCGGAAAATTCAAGTGTTGCCGGTAAAATGTATATAGAAATTTATATATAAATGTCAAATTTTACGGCTAACACCTAAAATTTCCGGGGATTCTTTTCTGTGTGTACTAAAACCTCTGGAAAATCCGTTGTTAATAAATAGCAAAACTCTTACGCAAAATAACACATTTTTGATAAGTTAATTACAATATTTCTGAATCCATAGATGGCTGCTATTCTGAGCGAGTTACCAAAAACTTACAGTGATTCCGCGAAATCAATCATTCAACAGCATTTGCGACGAAATACCTCTGGCACAAATAGTCCATCATCACCACTTTCCTGTTCAAGTCCCAAGTTACTTCTGAGTCCACAACTTGGTCCAATTAGTTTGAATCATTATGCTAGTAAGTTGATTTAATTTATCCAACTTCCGTGCTACACACCATATGCTTCTGGTCCATATAGATCTGAGCGACTTTTCACATAGTTCTGAGGGAATTTTCCTTAAATTATTCTAAAACAGAGACAATAATAAATGTACACAATTTAAGCATTGTAATTAAAACTCTAGGTGTTACGAAATATTTGTTTTTAGGTCCGCGGTCGCGACAATCATCGGTTGAGACCAATGACGGTACGCTCCAAATGAATACCGAAGAAGTATATCGTAATTTGCGTAAAACAACGGCTGAAATACAGAACTATAGTTTTGAAACCAAGCTAGGCCGAGACACCAACAGCAAAGATTTTGGAATAAGCCAAATGGATGAGCAACAGTTGGGAGCAGTAACGTCAAATGAATTTATCAGGCAACAGCAACACTATAACGTGAATCAATCGCAACAATACGGAATGAATGGTCACAATGGAAAATATTCTTCTTGCGGCGACAAAGAAGACTCTTGTAATGGTTCGAAAACACAATCAGCTGCAACCACTGAGTCCAATACACCCGAAAATACAGTTAGAATTGATGGGGAAATTTTAACGCGTAGTACGTTTACTGCAAAGCACTCAAATAATGTAACATTTTTGCCTACCGGTGAACTAATAACAGAATGTGAGTTTCATTTTATACTCCGTATCTTTAACCCACTAATGCATATAACCGCCTTTTGGGCTCGAAGCGCCAACTAAAGTGAGAAAATTACATAAGGCATACATTAAGAATACTATTCTCATAAGCTCTTCCCAATTCAAATCAGACGACTGGCATATTGAAGTTCGTGTGTTTTTGGTTGATGCTTCCACGTATGATTCTAAAAAAAACAATTGGAATAGGCTCAGAATATTACAAAATGAGTGTGTCAACAAATGAGCCATATGAACGATTGAACATATAAGATAAAGGTGTCAAACGAAAAAAATCGTCCGTCCGTCCTTTTTTTGATTTGGGACAAAAGGACATCTTGTCCTAATGTCTCATTTCAAAATAAGACAAAGGGACAAACTTTTTTCGTTTCCATTAGTTAAATGAAGTTATATAGGTTATTTCAAAAATTGTCCCTTTGATCACGAAATGTCCGTCCTCTATCCGTCCGTTTGACACCTTTAATACAAGATGAAAGATAAAAGTGTGATGGTCTTTACGTAACAAAATGTTTGGAAATGTCAAATTCCAGCAAATGTTGAGTTTTTCGCAACAAACAAATTAGACACCAGTTTGCGTACATTGTCTAATTTTCAAATTTGAAAAATACTTGAGTCAATATGGAAAAAAACATTTGTTGCAAAAAACTCAACATGTGTTGGAATTTGACACTTTCAAACATTTCGCAACCTAAAAATCAACTCAGTTTTCTCTGTGTACAAAATTTGCTTTTTTATGTTCGCGATTTGTGCGCAACTGATAAGAGATAAGAGATAACTGTCTTGAGTAATGTTATTGAGGACCTCGAGTACTACAACTTTGCAGAAGACACCATGTTGTTATCGTTTATAGGTTCCGTTCAAACATTCTTTTACGTCTCACGAATAGAGTTTAGATCATCATAAAAACTTATGAAACGCGTAGAAAACACATTTTTGTGACACTTTTCTGTTCGTGTGCCATCGTTGTCTTTATCGTCGTTGATTAACGTTAACACAATAATGGGGTACTTGCCCTAAGAAAAACCTCCAAAAATTGACAATTTTGTATGGGGGATACCCAAAAATCGATTCCGATTGGCTTCAAACTTTCTTAGGTTTCATGTTTTGGAGATAAAATAAGATCCTGAAAGTTTTATGTTGATCGCATTTGCAGAAGTTTAGTTTTTGGTCCTCAGTTTTTGTCAAAAATTCCTTGAAAATAATTGAGGACCGAAAACCAAACTTGTGCAAATGTGATCAAAATGAAACTTTCAAAATCTTATTTTCCTTAAAAAAAATGAAACGTCAGAAAGTTTGAATCCAATCGGAATCGATTTATGGGTACCTCTCAAACAAAATTGTCGCAATTTCAACTAAAATAACCAATTTTTCACTGGAAAATTGCCTTTGTTTCAAGAAAATTGAAAAAAAGACACAACAAGTACGAACAACGGTACGGAATAGTTCGGGATTACGAATGTAACTCTTTTTTTATTTTTTCATGATTTTACTAAATATAATTAACAGAGAGATCGTTAACAAGCTAAGATAAAAAATAAACAGAACAAATTTTGTTTTTCAGGGGGAGCTAAAGAATCCGAAGTTATGAAAGAAGCATTAGCCTTGAGCACAAGTTTGCCACATGAACAAATTGTTCAAACCTTGGCCGATTTGTCAACGTGTATCAAACTGGGCAATTGTGAGTTGCCAGTCAAACATTTCAAGTAAGTGCGAAAAACAATAAACAATGAAAAAAGCTATTCTGGATATGTATATTTTAATTTATCTGTCAATGATTTGGGAAAATTAGCCTACTTTTTGATTTTTTATATCTATTGGTCTCGAGTTAAACTGTAAACTCATAACTACCAATAGGGACTTGTTAGATTAGACGTAAAACTTTTCGTCAATGTGTCACCTCTTGATAAATTGAATGATGACTTTTGCAGTCATTAAGGCCGTCACTAAAATGTTGACGCTTTAGCGGGCCTATCTTCTAAAAAAAGGTGGTTAGGATTTTTGAAAAGTTTACATTCGGCTACCTACTCATTTATTCTATTTATTTATTTATTTATTCATGTTATGATTTGATACAGACCCCTAATTATAGTGAATTAAAATTTCAAAATTTCTATTCCATTATAGGGCCATAATGAAACTGTTATTGGCACTTCTTGATTCTCAACAAACGGACATCGTGTTGGCTGTAATACATACACTGTCGAAAATACTTCGAAGTGATCGAATGAAAAGTAGTTGGTGCAATTTCTTAGAGCTAATCTTGCTCAAAATTATTGATTGCTATAAAACACACAAAGATGTGAGAGTTGCTTTGAGATTTCCACCATATACTAATGATTTACAATGACAGCCATAATATTACTTTGAATGGTTTTTAGGTTGCTGCAAAAATTGATGAGATTTTAAAACCCATTGCCAGTGTACTACCAGTCGATGGCACCATTAATATACTGAACCCCGTGATAGCAACTGGAGAATTTCCCACCAATCTGTGTGCAATTAAATTGCTCACTGAATTGGTGACTAATCAAAGTGAACAAATTACTGACGTACATATAGACAACGTTATGCCAAATATTGCAAAGGTAAATGTACCTGCTGAAAAAGCAAGATCTTGGCGATGAAATGAATAACTAAATATAATCATTTTTTGATATAGTTATACGTTCTTTGATTGTATCATTAACAAATTACTATTTATTTTACAAATCTAGCGTACAGATGACACACAATCAATGGTCCGAAAGGCAGCCGTATTCTGCATTGTACGATTTTACGTTGTATTGGGAGAAGACAGAATTAAACCCAAATTTTCACTACTAAATTCAAGTAAAATAAGGTAATCCTCATATAGGATAATTTACATTATGAACTTGAACTAATATTAAATCCAATTTTTACAGATTGCTCAATGTTTATATTGAGAAAGCTTCAAATCAAAAATCGTGATCCTGAATATCAAATTTCTGTCAGCATGGATAGCGAGAGGATGATACCTTCACATGATCAGCGTTTTATAGATAGTTAAAACAACAAATTTCATACATTATGTACATGCGTAAATGTTGATGATATTAGGGAAATGCATATTAAAATACGCACATGATTTGATTTTCACCTTTTGTGATAGATAAAAGCCAAGAAAATTTACGTCGTTTTGCAGATCAAACTTGTTTATCGAGTTTGGAAACCTTTTCAAAAATCATTAACAATCTTTCAACTTTGCAGACGTGGGCACTACGGATTTAGTTTTTCAAATACGAATGGAACATAATAGAAAGATATAAGTCAATGTTATATTCCTTTGATATCAAGTTATTCAATGATGGACCTATTGGTGTCATAAACATATCATTGGATTTTTACTAAATAACACACAACTTTTGGAAAACACGGAATTCTTCTCCCAAATGAATAAATTTCGAATATTATATATCCAGTGGCATGTTTTGGCCCACGTCTGATGATTTCACACAAATGTAAAAAAAATTAAAAAATGATCAATTTGACGTTACTTTGAGTATTTTAATTTCATATTACCTCCCATGGTGTAATCAATGCATATTTTATGAAACAATGGATCACTAATCTTTCATTCCTTAATGCTTATTTATTCAAGTTTAAATATTTGTATTATGTTGCGAGATCTTACTTTGTGTCGAAACAAAATAAAAAAACCTAATCAAAATTGGTAGTAAAGTGGCGATTCATTTGTGATATTTTTTTTGATGAATTAGAAATTCCTAAAATGACATAATTTCGCAGATATGATTCTGAGCAGATTCCGTAAGTATTCATTCATAAAGCAGTCAACGAACACGGACAAAAAAGAGAAAAGTCAAGTCAACATAACAGTGTCGACTTCCAATGACTGCAAAAGTCATCGTTCAATTTATCAAGGAGGTGATAAATTGAGGAGAAGTTTTATTTCAGTGGCATCCAGGGGGGTTGGGGGTTCAAACCCCCCGAAATGAAATGGTGTTGATTTTTTTTCAAATGATTAATACAAAATAGGATTTCGTCTGAATAAGATATGACTCGATTACGAGAGTGAGTGTTCATCAATTCATTTATTTTCCATTTCTTCTGTTGTGAAGCATGTTCGAATGATTTGAATAAACCTGCAAATGCAGCCAAAATCAATGTGATTTTCGATGGTCATCAATATTACATTACTTTCATTGAATTCAAACTTATCTGTGTTTTAATGGCATTCGGCATAACAACACATCTACAAATGAACTGCTGAGAATAAAAGGCTGACGATTGTAGGTTTTTCTCAAAAGCGGGATAAAAATCAGTCGCACGCAAAAGAGACATTTCAAAAGGTTGCACGCAAGAGAGAAGTATATTGTTGTTGTAATCACGGCTTGAAAATTCGAAATGCGACAAAATAAAATGTTCCGTTTGCGTGTACCCTTTTGAAATGTCTCTTTTGCGTGCAACTGATTGTTATCCCGCTTTTGCGAAAAACCTGCTAGCGTCAGTCTTTTATTCTCACGCGTTCATATGTTGAAAACTTTGGCCACGATACCCATTACCATTGCCACACCAGAGCGATCTTTCTCTACGCTTAAGCGTATTAAATCATATCTGCGGGATTCAATGGGCGAGAGTCGTCTTAATGATTTAGCCTCATTAAGTATACACAAAGACATAAAAATCGATACACAAGAAGTCATCCGAAGATTTGCGGAAAGAAATAAGAGAAGAATCGATTTGTATAACCACATATATATTTTAAAATAAAATTTTGATTCCGATACTTCATTTTTCTACTGTATATGCGTTTTTTTCTGAAAATTTCCTTTAAAAAAACTAAAATTCAAACAAAGTTTCGAAAAATCCATGAAAATCGATTTTTTGCATATTCGAAGGTTTCACGCCAACAGTCAATTCCAAATGGAGTTTTCAACATTTTGATAATCTGGTGGCTGATATTAAAAGGTCTAGATGCTCACTAATTTCTGATCGCTTCCCAGAGTTCCTGCTATAACCAGTGACGGGCAGGAATTCGACAAAAATTGGAAAAAAAATGTATGAAAATCGATATCACAGTGCAACAAAGTTTAAGTAGGTCCATGTCACCAGCACCTGTTAAACCATAATATGTTATAATTAGTGCTCGAAAAGTGCTGGCAGATACCACTTCCAGATTGCAAAAATCTTGTCTAGTGGCTGAGCAATATCCGTCAATATTTTTGAAAAAGTAGATTTTCGGTACATTCCCATGGCCGGAATTTTTTTCGTATCAATGTACCTCTATGACTCCTGTTCGGAAAGGGGAATCACTGTTTTTCAATTGAGTCATGAAGTGAGTAATCGAGATGATTCATTGACCAAAGTGACAGTCATGAAAAATCTACAAACAGTATTGGTGCGTAAAACAGAAAGTCATGACTCTCCAATACACTCACGCATTCAATTCGTCATATCAATTCTGTTTTTTTAATCAGAAACTGAGCTTTGTCAAGCACATCAACGCAATTACATTGAAAGAAACGGCTGCCCTTGGTTTCATCAGGAGATATTGCTATGACATAATCGACGTTCAAACGCTCAAAACATTGTACTACGCATTGGTTCAGTCTCACCTCGAGTACTGTAACGTTGTATGGCTACTGACTTATTCCATACATATCGACAAAATTGAGAGCGTTTTGAGAAAATTTACCCAGTTCGCCCGAAGAGAATACCGTACAGCGGCCAACGGCTATAGTATCTCCGACTACAACAAGCGCCTGGAGGCTCTAAGCATCAAATCGCTGGAACGTAGGAGAGTGTATGCTTCAATTGTATTCATGTACGACATCGTGAATGGGAACACAAATTGTCCCAATGTACGCAACGACATCGCAATTGGAGAGAGCGTACGTATCTTACGGCACATTGACTACCTCAAGATCAAAAGAAAGCTCATGGATAGGAAATTCAGAGCACAAGTGCCTCAAATGTGCAAGTTTGCAAACAAAGTCGCCGATCAATTCAAGAATTCAACCAGCCGTAAAAACTTCATCCCATCGGTACGCAGCGAACGAAACCAAAAATTTAATATAAAATATTGACAAATTGTTATCTTACATCCCTACAGAATGTATAGGAATAATGGTGTTTATCTGTGATTTTTATCCAAACATTTATAGAAACGCAATATAATTAGCAACATTGACTGTGATATGATATAGCCATCCTTTGAGTTGGTGATTAACTTTTGACCTGTTATTACTTTATAATGGAAACTACCTTTTGTGTCGATGTATTTGCAAAAATCAGAATAATTTTTTATGTCTTTCGGTCTCTACTAAATTGTAAATTCATATCTACCAACAGGGACTTGTTAGACTAGACGTAAAACTTTTCTTCAATATATCACTTCTTTGATAAATTGAATGATGACTTTTGCAGTCATTAAGGTCGACATTAATATGTTTAACGCTCCAGTTAGTTTATCTTTTCTTAAACGCGTTGTTATATTATCTTGAACCGTTGACAATTCGGCTTCCTACTCATTTCTATGTATTGGTTAGGTTTCTTTGTGTTACATTTTATAGACCAAACCATGATTCCAATCGAGAAAGACTACTTTAACTAAATATTGTATGAAAACACCCTGTATTGTACAAACACAAAAAAATCAGGTTTTTCACGACTCTTGGAGTTGTTTTCCTGCAAACCAAAATATTCAGCCAGTTTTTGGCGTTGTAAATGGATAAAAAAAATACAAAAAAAATATTCTGATTAATTAATCCCGACTATTTGTTGGAAATTACCATATTAATATGGATTTTCAGTTCAAACCTTACTGTTTTCGGAAAATGAAGAATTCAGTACATACGGTCTCATAGCTCAATACAACTATCCAAACTGTTCAGTTTTATGTCATACAGAAACGGGGTTAAAGTTTCGATTGGTTTCTATTTCATATATTGCAAGAGTATGCACAGAAAATCTGTGAATATTGGTTGGATTATTGATATTACATATCTTTCTTTCAGTTTTTCGAAATGCGACAACATCCAATTGAGAATGTGATAAATTGTGATAGAATGAGAACACAAGTTGCAAAATTGAGATTTTTTTCACAATTGTTCGACTTTTGAATAATTTTGTTCAATTGTTCTACATAGAAATGTATAGGTATGTATAAGCGTTTCTAATTAGATACTCCACACTTTTTGGAAATTTTGATAAAGTAAACGCATATTTTTTTTCAAAATAAATAGTCGAACTATAACCATAGTTGGCTTAGAAAATCTTGAAATATTCACGCTAATAGATTTTTTGTTCATTCATCTCAAAATATGGAAAATAAATGAAAACAACTCACCAGTAAAGGTCCCACGTTTACACTCTTATTTTTTCAAAATTCCGATTGGATTAGTTAGTTGGGGTCAAATGATGACGAATGACACCAATTATTTATCCCCGAAATTCTTTGGGGGTAGTTTTAGGGGGGTCGAAAGTTCGAAACTCCCAATTTTCTGGACGCCATAGCTTCTAAGCGGATGGGAATTTGTAAAAAGTGTCTTCGGCAATGTTGTAGATCTAGTCGAAATTTAGAACTTTGCCGAACAAATCATCCCCAAAAAACCACCCTTCAGGTCTAAAAGTAACCCCGAAAATCTGAATTTAACATCTGAGATAACATCTACAACTTTTTCGAAGACACTTTCCCAAAATTTCCAGCCGTTATGTGAACCCGTGAGCATAAAAAGAACGTATTGACTCTTCGCCGATGAATAAAAAAATATATTGACAAGTTTCCTGTGAAATAATGTGATCGTAGGTAGATGTGAAGGCCGATATTCAAAATAGAATATTATATCTCTTCCTTCTTTATTTTTTGCACTTTACGATATCTGCCCGCCGGTATCGGTGAAAAAATATGCTCCACTTTTCTTACAATTTGCATGTCAGATATTTTGTGTACAGCTAAATTATCACAAAATAAGTTCAAATCCAAAATATCAGCTCAACATATTCTGCGCAACACTTTTTATCCCATTCTGAAATATTGACATGAAATGACATAACCTCACTTTGTCGAATTGAGTGAGATTTCAAAGTGAAATAAAAAAAAATTGTGCGAAAGATTTTGAGCTGATTTTGAGCTGATTTTTTGAATTTGAATTAATTTCGTGGCAATTTAGCTGTACACAGAATATCTGACATGAAAATTGTAAGAAAAGTGAAGCATATTTTTTCATCGATATATATATATCGGGCAAATATCGTAAAGTGCCTTAATATCTACCTACGATCACATTATCTGACAGGAAACTTATCAATATAGTTTTTTCTGCGATGGCTCTCGGTCTAATCGTCTTCCCAACCATTTTGTGAGAAAATTTTCGAATTCCGCAACCTTCTTTTAAAAATCTCATAGATACTCCACTGCGTATTCAAGAAAAAAAATAGCTCATCACTGTGATATTAAAAATACATGTACGCATGACTCAAACGTATTTTACAGTTTATGGTAGAACCTTTCAAATTCTTCTATGTATTCGTTAGTAATTTTACTCACGAGGAAAAATTAAACTTTATAATATAAAAATTATATAGTTGAGATCTACAAGCTCTACCGATTCAGAATGTGTGTTTTGGTTCTGACTTTAAACATGGCGAAACAGCCTAGTAAACACCATTAATTAATTGAAAAAGAATTCTTACTCTTAAATTTAAAATCCCTCATTTTTCTTTTTTGGGTTATGAAAAACACCCTATTTTATATTTAAGACTTGAGCGCATAGCGCATAGTAGTAACGAAATCAAATATTCATATGTGCTCTTAAATGATCGTTGCGATTGCTTCAATATATTATTAAACATTTCTTATGTATACACTTATACACACTCATAAATGCTTACACTTACTCATAAACTTGCCAAGAAGAACAACATACTTACTCATAAATAAACGTATACACTTACTCATACATGCACATACGTATATGTGTACACATATACGAAGGTTTTTGTGAAACCGCGTCGGAAGATCTCATCGGAGAACGTATATAGTACGTTCAGTTTTGTTTAGGTGCTCAAAATGCAATCCCTTGTTTATATTTTGTGAATCTCAACTGTCGAGAAATTTTTTGTAAAACTTATATTTAAATCTAATCTTAATCATAATTTTGAGAAATCTTGGAAAAAAATAAGCAAAACTTCAACAAATAGCTTACGAAAATAGCTGAAGACACTTTAAATGAATAAAGTTATACAAATTTTGTTCAAGGCATCAGTGTACTTCATTCCAAAGAGAATCGTAGAAACAGGAGTTTCTTTATATGTTTGGTACTGTGGAAGTTTTATGAAGTTCTATGATATCGAACCAGAAGTGCACACAGAGAGCCCATTCGTCAGAACAGTTGTGACTACGGACTGAAATTTTCAGTGAAAGTAAAAAAAAAGATCTGTGGCGGAGATCCAGAAACTCATTATTGTATATTATTCGCTATTATGCTATTGCATAAATATACTATTAAGTTGTGCACAATCAGAGTTGTGAACTGATTCGCGCTTCAAACGGAAATTAGATAATATACAAAAAGTGAATTTGCACAAACAATGTAATGGTAACTAATTCCTCATTCAAATATTCTAAATGCAATATTGTTTGACTTTTGTTGTGGAAAAGTCATGTACGATTTCATTACAGATTCGAAAATGAATTGCGGATACGATTATAATACTCGGATCTTTTCCCCTGAACGTTCTCAATCCATGGTAAGTGAGAGTAAGGCCTAGGTATTTGTATGTATAGGAAAATGTGGATAGAGACACTGTCAATAAGAGACAATATTGATATTTACTTAGTTTTCGAAACTTTCAGACATTTAAACTATTTTAATGGATTTGTTCGTTTTTTAACGTATTTTTTTTTTCTAGACAATATTGTCACCCCATAAAGGGCAACCTAGAATGACTCATTTGGAATCTCTGGAAGCTAAGGTATGTATGTTTTAACTCTGTCACATTCAGCCACAAATCAGCTGGAAACAAAGATGGGATAGCACGAACTCAGAAAGTATGAAGGGTATCCATTGAATTGTAACATGAGTAAGATTTGATTGCAAGCTGTATGATTTTCATACAAATTGTTTTTTTTGCTCATTGATTACTAAATCTTGAAGACATCCAAGTTCTATCAATATTTTTGTTTTCAAAGTGCAACATCAATTTTGTTCGCTTTAAAATCACGTATTTTTCTACTTTTTCGAGTAAGTTTGCTTAAAATACATTTCATTATTTTTATTTCTGGATGCAAATTATTTTTTACGGCAAAAAATACAGCCTAGAGGGAATTTTTCGACCATTTTCTTGCAATTTCATAGGTCTTCCTTTTAGTGTTGGCCGTCGAACACTTGTGAACGCTTGCTCATTCGTTCGACAATTTTAAAAAAATATTTTGTGTTCGTTCGTTAAAAAAATAATAAAACTTTTAATTATAGTTCGCCGCACTATATTGAGTCATCTTGACATTTTTTGGAATAAAGTCTGAATAAAAACAGACACCTGAAGTAAGTTTTTCACATATACTTTTTCAGTGAAGATGTTTTGGAAACAATTAAATGAAAAATAAAAACTTTTTACTTAGAATAATATCTCATCTTATTAGGTAAAAAGTTTTTATTTTTCATTTAATTGTTTACAGAACATCTTCACTGAAAACGTATATGTGAAAAAACTTACTTCAGATGTCTGTTTTCAAAAATCTGTTTTCATTCATTATAGTGCGGCGAACTATAATTAATAGAATTATTATTTTTTAAATTAATACTTTCCTAATTTTTTTGGAGTGCACAAACCTGAAGAGTTTCATCGTTGAATGCAAATACGACAAAATGTATATTACCTGTATGCTTCGATTCATATTGTCTATACACAAGACGCAAATGCATCCATTATCAAACGAATGTACACGATTTTCCGTCTCTCTATTAACCGTCAATTCTGTTAGCCGTCATCGTTCGCGAGGCATTTTTTTTTTCATTTTCGATTCAAAGTGAATTGACTACGTTCATATTGAAGAGAAAAACGCTACCTATCTCTGTATTTCATTTCGTCTGTTCAATTTTTGGCTTTGTAAAGCAAAAAAGCACGTTTCTATACGATCTGCTGTGTTCCAAAAGTCACCTGCAATCGTACCAACCTAATTTCTCTCTGTGTAATATTCAGAAATATTCACAAAAGGTTAAATACAATTTCGTCTAAAGAAATGACAAAATCGTCCAAATTAAAAATTAAAATATTTTTTTCTAAAAATCGTCTAAATTTATTTCGAAAATATGACAAAATAATTTAAACTTCTGACAATTTTTTTGTGTTTGAATGAAGCCCCGAGGCTGTAGCTCCACGTTTTTATGTTGTTCTTCACATTTGTGATGTAAAGTTTTATGAGCAAATTAACCTTCAAACCGTAAAATGTATTTTCTAACGTTGTTCGTAAAATCGGTGCCCGAGTACCCATAATGCATTTTATATAGGAAATGTCATTTTTTTCTAAAAATTTCATTTTTTAATGTAAATATTTCAGTATTTATTGATCGGAAACGTATGAAAATTACTTGCAAATGTGATAAAAGTTGTAAAAAATCGAAATACGAAAGACAACAACAAGTTTTTTGGAATTTTTCAATAAAGTGAAGATTGCAATGTTGATCTCTTCATAAAAATGAAGGCAAAAGCGTATACATACAAATTCCACTATGGCCGATTTTGACGTCAAAAATTGATATTTTGAACGGCAGGTTGGATCAAAAAAATATGTATATCACTAGAAAGGTCTTGAAAAGTAGATGTCATTTTTGGTATAGAACTTCAAAATAGGCCGGCATTTGGCCAAAATTGATAAAATGGCCATATTTTGATAAAATGATGATCGATTTTGATGTTTTATAACTCGAATTACATGTACTGTTCAAGATCTTTCCAATGATGTATATTTCATAGTTCCCACATTAATTTTTATACGCAATTTGTCGAAAAATGCATATGGGCACTCAGGCACCCATTTTACGTATAGCGTATCACACATGTTCACGCGCATATGTGGTAAGCTAGTGCGCGTATGTGGGTATGTTAACGCAATTTTTGTAGCCAAATGTTCAACGAATCGAACCATAGTTATTTTATTAATTTACACTGTAAGTTTGCGGAGGGGAATGAGTAATCTAGATACAGTGCGAAATAGCGGTTTCAACTGTTTTTGGATGGTTTTACACTAATTTTAGGGTAAAATGTGTTATTGCTTATGCGAACGCACAAGTGGCTACTATTCATATACGTGTCAATACATAGACACGCACTGGTCACCAAGCCTGTGCAGTTGTATGTATTGTAAATTTTACACACAGCAACTCGTTCAATACATACAACTGCACAGACTTGGTGACCAGTGCGTGTATATGTATTGGCACGTATATGAATAGTAGCCACTTGAGCGTTCGCATAAGCAATAACACATTTTTACCTAAAATTAGTTTAAATTCATCCAAAAACAGTTGAAACCGCTATTTCGCACTGTATCTAGATTACTCATTCCCCTCCGAAATTTTGGTGTGTATGATAAGAAATAATTAAGATATAAGCATTCAAAGTTGGTTTTGGGCACACAGTGCCCAATTTACGGTTTGGAGGTTAAATGCGTTGCACATGCCTTGAAGTTGTGGCCATCGGAAGTTTGGCACTGCTGCTTCGATCATTGGCGGAAGGCCAACGACAATGTGTGTCACTTGATATCCAAAATCGAGTTGAAGCAATCCTTGATCAATTCGTATCCATTGCCTTAAAAAATGCGTGGTTATTTTCGTCGAATGCTCGGTTGTTCTCAAAAAGGAACAACAATGAAGCCAAAACGGAATTGATGATGGTGGCTGTGTGGCACCAAATGTTAACTTGTGCCACAAAATCCGGGCGATAATGACCCCGAAGAACCGAATTTAATGACAGTTTGACCGATCTCGGGTGCCCGTTCTAGGCCCGCTTTCTTTTCATGCTCACCAAATTTGATCTTATGAGAACGAAATAGTAAATTGATTAGAATTATTGCACTTTCTATCAAACACTGACTAAATTAACAATTTGTTTTTAAAGAAAGAATCAATGAACCATCAATATAACAATCAACTTGCCTCAACGAATTCTGACAACGAACTATCAATGCAATGCTGAATTTCGAATTTTGTGCTCTTGTCGTTGTGCTGTTAGTCAAAAGTCACAACCGAATCAAATGCAAAACTAATACAACAGCACAATCCAAAAAAAGTGTCGACCACCACTCAAAATCTCTTTTGAATTCGACTCAAAGTAGATATTTCGCATCGTTATGAAATTCAGAACACAAAACCCGCATTGTTATTTGCATTATTCACATTCTTTTCTTCGTGTATGTATATCTACTGTGCAGTCTATATAAAGTGAAGCGAGCACAATGTTAACCGTCCGTCATTTGTAAAATTTTGAATGATATGCATTTCGTTAAAATAATTCATTGGAAGTTGTCATTTTATTGAAAACCATGCACATATACGTTTAACAGGGGTGGTCGATTTTGAAACCCAGCGCTAACCAAAAATGGGGGTGCGCATTTGATAGCTCGTGTCGAGAGAAGAAAATTTTGTTCTAGCATTTTGCCACTTTTCCCATCTGGGAGTCAGCGAAATCGATTGGCGTGGAGCGCTCGAAAATGCCGAAAAATGACATATTTGGTACAATATTCGGATTTTTCACATCTGATGATGAATTTTGACACTCCCATCGGATTCCTCGTGAAAAACTATGACAAAAAAACCACTTTCAAACGAGTCTATTCCGCTTTTAGGGTCGATAGAGACTTAAAATCGCCAGAAATCGCCGTTTTGTCCAATTTTCCAAATATTTTGACCAGAGATTACTATGAGATATTTTTATTCATATGGGATACAAATATCGCATAAAAATATCAGATATTTCTCATGCGTTGCGTTGTTGTAACGCTTCTGCAGTACAAAATTCATATCCCTCTTTGGGATCCAAGTCGAATTTCATGCAAATTTGACTTGGATACCAAAAAGGAATATGAATTTTGTACTGCAGAAGCGTTACAACAACGCAACGCATGAAATATATCTGATATTTTTATGCGATATTTGTATCCCATATGAATAAAAATATCTCATAGTAATCTCTGATTTTGACCTAGTGCATGTTGGTAGGCACCATTTATCTGCATGAAAATGACCTCTAGTATAATTCCATGATGAAATGACCACTAAAATGGGCCAAACTTTACATTACGCGACGGTGAAATCTACTGAAAAAGGTTAAATTTTTGTTCCCTGTCTATTTTTTCAAGTGAATTGACAAAAATAAACCAGAATATACAAATAATATTATTTTCTTCATCCAACTATGGGAAAGTTTGGAATACAAAAAGTTTGGGTTTTTGAGATCACGTGCAAATAATGTTTGAAATACACTACCGTATATATGATAGTAGACCCTGCACATAAGCATCCCCATCTATTGTTGTAAAACCTCATCTCATATAGTTTTCTTCCGATTATCTCTTGTCAATCATTTAAAAAAGAAGCGATAAGATCTTTTATGTAACTTTTGCCAAAAATGATGTTGTAGTTGAAATACAGTTGCCGCCACAAACAACTGTCAGTTAACAACAATAACTTTGTGATGAATTCAAAAACATTGTTTGATTTCTTAAAAAGAATGGAAAGATTTGTTTTAATGTCGTATGAATTTCATAAAAGCACAAGAAATACTATATAAATTACAATTAAACCGAATTATTTGGTCGAGAAAGAGTTGAAAATAATTATTACAGTTATCTGTTATGCGATTTCAGATTATATACACTGCTTACGCTATTCCACACAAACACATTGATGAAATCTTGTGCATTGATCTCGAATAATTCCTTGTTATCATCAGCGCGAATTGAAATGAAAATATAAATGCGTTCGTTGTACATTTTTACTTTTCCGCAAACTTGTTTGTAAGGAAAAGTATTGGTTTTACTAGCCGAAATTTCATGACTCCTCCTCTTTCGGACCACTATAAAGCTGCCCAAAACTTCAAATAGCACAAATCCATACACTAGGCAATGTAAATGGGATCTAATCCCATCGATCAAGACTTATATACCACCAAAAATACGTTGTTTACTATGAAAAATGTGTAAAACAGCAATGTTTGTATGGCGTCGTCCGCGTTCTCGCCCGCGTTCTACGTAAACTTGTTCGCCCATTGTCTCAAAAAATTGACGAGATAATTGCAAACTGTAAAGGGACAAAAGTTTTGGCATGATGAGACAAAGCTTCGGATTGTTTTTGAGTCAATTCCATTATACCGATTTCGTGCAATGTGCCTCAGACTGAGGACCTGAAATCCCTAAGTAAATTGAGACTTTTGTATGGGAAGTACTCGAAAAAAGCATTTTTCAGGGTTTTGGTCAAAGGAAACTGGCATTATTTTGCAAAAATAAATCCATTTGTTTGTCCATAAATTGGGTCCGAAATCGATATTTTTTGAAATTTTCATCGAAAATGGCACTTTTATATGAAAAATCACTCAGAAAGCCATTTTTTAGGGTTTTGATCAAGGCAAACTGATATTTTTTCGCAAAGATGATGGGAGCCTAATTGAAAAAAAAACAATCCAATTGGACTGTGTATGTTGTATTGCCGGAACGGTGAATTTATTTGATTCACACAGAGTGTGTGACTTTTTTGTATTGCCTCCTTCTTGTTCCGAATGAAAATGCAAAAAAAAATTTATGATTCCATTTGATCGATATATTTCGGCTTATCAAAAGCCATCTTCAGGATCTAAAATGAAATAATTTTTCACAATTTATCAATAAATAACCTAGATTTCGTGTGTAAATAAATAAATTTACCAAGAGCCAATTGACTCTAACACTGTGAATCTAATTTTCAATAACAAACAATGCAGCGAAATGTCAAAGTTGGCACTTGCTCTGATTGGCGAAAATGCGCTCATTAAACGGAATCATATTGCACGAAAAAACCTAATCGATTCAAAAACCTATCAACATTAATTAATATGAATTGAATATTTCGGTGTCAAAAACTTATTTTGAATTCTTAATGAGATTAACATAAGCATTTGTGTAGTCTTTTTTATCGGTTTTATCATTGCATGCATTCATTTCAAACTTGATGATTTGGTTGACTTCATGAATTTGGAGTTTTGTTTTATTTCTCTCTCGCTTTAGAATCGTTCCTTCATCAAACTTGAACTGATGATCATTATTTTTCGCGTGTTTCGCCAGCGCTGATGAAAACTTCGTGACTGGCTTGTTGCAATTGTATTTGTGCTGTGATTTTCTCGTTCCGAATTTTTGGATAGTTTCTCCAATGTAAACAGCTGAGCAATCGTTGCACTCAATTTTATATACCAATCCAGATTTATCGTCTGTCTTGATGCGACTTTTTTGATTAGCAAACATGCACAAATTTTTCTTATACGGTCTCATTGCTAGTTTTAGATTTGGAGCAAACTGTTTGCAGCTATTTTCAATTGATTCACTCAGACCCAGAATTGTGAAAAATTATTTCATTTTAGATCCTGAAGATGGCTTTTGATAAGCCGAAATATATCGATCAAATGGAATCATAAAATTTTTTTTGCATTTTCATTCGGAACAAGAAGGAGGCAACGATGTACGATAGCCGACAGCTGACTGTCAAAAAAAGAATCGCATAACACCTTATTTTTATTTTCAACTACGTATTTCTCGGCCAAATGGTTCGGTTTGATTGTAATTAATATAAGATTTTTTGTGCTTGTATGAAACAATAAAAAAAAATCCTATCGCCTCTTTTTTTTCAAATCAAACACTGTTTATGAATTCACCACAAAGTTATTGGTGACAACTGACAATTGTTTGTGGCGCTAACTGTATTTCAACTGCAATGTCACTTTAGGCAAAAATCTAACCGCTTCTTTTTACTATTTTTTTTCTAGATGGCCAATATTGAAGTGTCATTGAGTAGCACAAACACACCACGGCGACGAAAAGGTACATCATTGGGAGGTGTTACTACTACGCCATCTCTTATTGTTGACACCACCAACATCAATTCGAATTCTAAACAAGAGCATCATTCAGCATTTCAAGAACGTGATTCAATTATCCAAAGCTTACGAGTGCAACTCGGCCTCGGAAAATTACCACGTCCAGGACTACCATTAGATGAAAGTGAAGTGTCAAAAGCCGAACAAGAATTGCAAAAACTAAGGAATAACGCCGATAAAAAACGAACTGTAATAAGAAATTTGAAAACAGTTTTGGAAGACCTAGACATTCAAGACAAGTAATTAAAATTTAATTTACATTGGAAAGATATGGATTGATCAATATTTATTTTAAAAGTACTTGACTAATGATTTTTACAGCAATATTGACGTTCGAATTCGGCAAGCAGAAATTGAATATGCTTTGGGACGCGAGGAGTTGCAATTATTATCTTTGGTGGAGGAAATTCGTGCACTTCAATTCCGCCTTGATAAAACTGTGAAATCTGACACAGAAAACCTTCAAACATCGCTATATTTTCAGCTTAAAAATGGATTGAACATGTAATTATCACTTTTCCGTACACATAGTATTAAGGAATAGTATAGGAATTGGCCCCAAAACATCGCAAAATTAGCTTAGATCATCATAAAAACGCGAAGAAAGTTTTTGAGACCCTTTTCCGTTCGTGTTCCGTTGTTGTCGTCATTATCGTTGTCGTCGTTGGTTTCTGTTCGTTCTTGTTTGTTAACACGATAACTCAAAAAAATAATTGAGATAATCAAAATCTGGAAATTCCAGAAGTTTTGTATCCGAAAAACTTAGTTTAAGTTTGAAGATGAGCCATTTTCGATTTGACCGTGTGATACTTGCTCCAAGAAAAACTTCCGAAAAATGACAATTTTGTATGGGGGTAACCTCGAAAATGCATTTTTCGGGATTTTCATTAAGAGAAACTGCAATAATAATAATAACAATAATAATAATATACAAGAGAATTATGATTGGCGTAACATGACACGTGACGTAGCTAAATTTGCAAGAAATTGTAAAGAATGCAAATTGGCTAAACCAGAACAAAAAACTAGACAGCCACTGATACTGACGAAAACACCATGCAAACCCTTCGATATCGTACAAACAGATACGATCGGACCAATGACAAAATCGAATCAGGGAAACATCTATGCGATTACTCTGATTGACGAAATGTCAAAATGGTTAACGATAATTCCAGTTCAGAATAAAACAGCTAAGGAAGTTGCAAAAGCAATCTTCGAAAAATTTGTCCTGATATACGGCCCAATGAAACAATTAAAGAGTGATTTGGGCACTGAATACAAAAATTCTCTCATTGAAGAACTATGCAAACTGTTAAACATCGAACAAAAGACATCTACAGCTTATCATCAAGAAACTGTAGGTCAAATTGAATGCAGTCACAGAGTTTTAAATGAGTATTTACGAGTATGATTTCTACATTTTTGTAAGAAAACTTCATTTCGACTTCATTTTTGATCTTCTATCTTGCTGAGAATAATTTTCACTAAAAAAAGGAGTAATCTAAAAAAATGGAGTCAATTCACAGAACCATTTCCCTGCCTTTACAACAAAATTGGTGAAAAAATGACCTGAATATTTTAAAATTAAACCTGAAAACTTTGTTCAATATGAATTTAAAGTTTTTTTTCGATACTTTCTTAACCCTTTGATGCACAATTTTTTGTTTTTGAATCATTTTGATATATGTTTTGTGCCATGATAAATAGAGAAAGACTTCATACTTAGATTTTTGAAAAATTGCGTATTTGTCGAGAAAATCGAAAAAGAGTCAAAAGTGTCAAATCACTACAAAAGCTTGAAAAAATTAAATTTCATAAAACTAATGATGCAGAAAGTTAAATTGATGTGTTTTGGTCCTACGAGACCTAATTTGACAATTGAAAAGAATGAACAAACCCACAAGATAAGAGGAGGAAAAATGTGGAATTCTGCTATAATTTCGCAATTTTTTTACAGCAGTACATGAACAGAAAAAACTTTCCATTCAGCCAGCCAATTGTAGCATGTAAAGTATCAAATGAAAGCTAATTCAATTCCCTACATTTGTTTCCAAACGAGAATGCAAATATATTCAGTGGTTTCATAGCTATAGCGTCTGGCGTATCTGGTTACTTTAGGAACCGATATGTGATAAAGGGTTAAGTTCATTGGAGTGCTAAAAACTGAAGAGTTGGATTCAAATATTTTGACAAAACGACATTAATATGTATATTTCGATTAATATTGTGTATATTACTTTTCCGTAGACACCGTGTCAAGGGAAAGTATAGGAATTGGTCCCGAAAACTTATTTCGCAAAATTGGTTTAGATCATCATAAAAACTCATGAAACGCGTAGAAAACACATTTCTGAGACACTTTTCAAAGACAATAATTAAAATAATCAAAATCTGGAAATGCCAAAAGTTTTGTATCCAAAAAACTTAGTTCAAGTTCGAAGATGAGCCATTTCCGATTTGATCCTGGGGTACTTGCCCTAAGAAAAACCTTGGAAAATTGATACTTTTGTATGGGAGGTACCCGTAAATCGACTACGATTGGCTTCAAACTTTCTAGGGTTTCATTTTGTGGGAGAAAAATAGGATTCTGAAAGTTTGAAGCTAAGAGTAGATTTCGGGGGTACCTCCCATACAAAATTTTGACTGAAATTACTGATTTTTCAACAATTTTGTATTGACGAAATTGAGGGCCAAAAACCAAACTTCTGCAAATGCGCTCAACATGAAACTTTCAGAATCTTATTTTTTCTCCAAAAAATGTAACCTCAGAAGTTTGAAGCCAATCGGAATCGATTTACGAGACCTCCAATACAAAATTGTCAAAGTTCTGAGTAAAGTGACCGATTTTTCAGGAATATTAAAAAAACCGAAAATACGGACAACGGCACGGAAAAGTTTGGGATTACGAATGTAATTCTTTTTATTTCAAAAGGAATGACACAAATAAACCAGAATTTACAAATAAAAATAATGTAATAAAAGTACTTTACCAAAGTCGATTCTCGTGCCGGAAGCGAACACAAAACTTATACAAGATGATTCACGTAACAAGATGATTTATAAAAAGGACTCTTCGGTTATTTCTGTGTCAATTTTTGATTGTTAGTCGCTTTTGTTTCCGTTCAATATGACAAAAAAATCAGAAATAAATGTAACAAAACCATACCCCAATTGCATTAACAAAAATCCTTACAAAGTCGAGAAAACAGTGAAAGGTTTTTGACATTACACTAGCGCCAACGAATAAATGCAATGACAGATACGACAGAATTTGCAATTACTTTTCACCATAAACTGTAAGGTGAAAAGAGCTATCAGTTAATCGGAATGAAGAATGGAGGCCTGCTTCAGTATTCTCATTAGAAACTCATGTCTACAAATAGGAAGAAAGATCAAGTATTGATCAAGTAATTGTTGCAATAGTAAATAAAACGAATTACATACGTAATCAAGGGGGAAGTACTAGATTTGTATAATTCAAATAATGCAATCTAGTACAAAAATAATCCCGAAAAATCCTTCGGAATTCTCAATAATGCCCAATAATGCTATTCATAATATCAATAAATAATAGCGAACTATGGTCAAGTAATTGATGCTT